ATAAGGCTATAATTTTATACCAATTTTAGAGTAAAACCTGTTATGTAAAATATTTATTATATATAAAATAAAATAAAATTAATATAGTGCATTTTCTTTACAGTAAATTTAAACTACTATAACTTTTTGATACTTACATTTTTTGAAAAAATTCCACTTTTGCGATAATTTGCTGATTTTCTTCTTTAAAAAGAGATCAACCTTATGTCTGTATTCCAAAGTGTTCATAAATTACAACAATTTAAGTTTGGATAGTTCACCTGCATGCCTATTTTAAAAAATGGGGGGTGACAGTTAAAGGGTTCATCTGTATTTTGAATTTATTAGTCCAAAGTGGTGGTGCATCCTAATTCCAACTGTGCTAAATTTCAAAACATCTATTGGGAATATCTGATTATAAAAACTTTTAGTAAAATAGCTCATTCTTACTCCTATATCTACAGTTCGCAAGCCAAGATATGTTAGGAGGGAGAGGCCATCAGCAACGTCAGCATCATCAGCATCCAGCAGTGCTACTGTGGCAACAGGGGCAGTAACCAAGGTATACAATGTGTGACCAGCCTTCAAGGGCCAGCTATGAGCACCCTTTTAAAACATGGGTCTGTCCTAAAGCACTGTTTTCTTATAGGATTTACTTTTTTGGTGAAACTTTCCTTTGTAGGCTACATGAAGAAGTGACATGTCTTGATGTAGGATTTATCTTTTTTAATTCTCTTTTCTTTTCACTGGAGCAAGTTATTTATTTCTATTTATATATTTTTCACACAATACATTGTTCCTTTTTTTTAAGAGACCAAGTGTTGCACTACTAGAGTATTTTTGATTGTTAAGCTATAATGAAGTCTAGTAAGTTGTTTTTGAAAGAATTGTGTAATGTTTATATTTATTACCAGTATTTTTGTGTGATATTGTACTTTTGAGTCTTGTGACATTGTAACTAGGATTCAAAACAAGACTTCCGGAGTTAGTCATATTTGCACACTACCAACTCCTCAAACCTCATCAAGTAAAAAAAAAAAAAAAAGACATTAGCATATTTACCATTCGGTTGAAATCATTATTTTGTTCCTGTATACACAAATAATATATTTTCTATTAATCCTGTACCATCTCCACAAATTCTGTTAGCACTTATTAATGCCATATACATATGCTGGAAAATACCCTGTATGAGTATTGAAAATACTCCTGGCTTGGGTTTCAATGTTAACAGCATATTCATGTTCTACTGATAAGTGTGCATGAAATGTCCACCTGTTAACAATGGCACATTCTTCACTATATTCAACATAAAGGGTTCTGGCTTGCACCAAAGTTTTTTCCCAGGTAAATAATGATCAATTCAAATTTGCTAGGCCTTAAACTTGCAAACTTGCTGTTAATACACAATATATACAAGCCAGTCATGAGATGATTTGTATAATGTCCACAGGAAACTTTGATGACTCACTCTTGATGTTGCCCCACCCTAAATTTTTATTTAAATATATAAAATGACATGTTAGGTTTAACAGAAAACAGCTTACCTCCAGTTGTGGCATTTTAGAACTTAAACATAATGGGCTTCAGATCCATATTGACTCCATCTAACCCACAGGAGTAACTAATCTCATCATGAGTAGAGTCTACTACGTCCTCAGTGCTGCTCTTTTTGTGTTAGAAATTCCAGAGACCAAGGTATCTCTTGTCTTGTCTTTTTCAGGAATCTTTGGAATAATTCCACACAACTCTCAGTATGTGAGAGCCATAACTATTGTGAATGCATTGGTTACTGTAATCCCATGCTCTAAAACTGAATTTAAGATCGATTCCATTCTTGATGTGTTTTGATTGTTTGTTTCAAGAGCTGCTAGAAAAAAAAAATCCCAGGTAAATAATGATAAATTCAAATTTGCTAGGCCTTAAAGTTGCAAACTTGCTGTTAATACACAATATATAAGCAAAGTTGTGAAAAACTGTTGCCAAAAACAGAGCTATTTATCCCATCTTGTATAAGACAAAGTGCCATTAAGTGATTGTGCTAACGAATGAAGACCTATAGTCACCATTTTTGATTTTGTACATTTTATACAAAATTAGAATGTAAAATTATGAAAGAACTTTAGTAAATTTATCTTGTTTCTTGGTTGGAAAAAACAACAACAAACAAAATGCTTGATATCACTGTAGTGTTATAAAGCGAGTAATACACTGGTATTTCTATAAAAGGACCGGAGATGTCAGTTACCTTTGTTTTACTTTATTTTGTAGATGTTTATTGCAAATAGTGGCCTTTAAAATGCCGTATCATCCCCTATGCCTATATATATTTATGGTTTTCGGTGTAGTTTTTAGGTTTTCTCATTTGTAATAATGGTTCTGTTTATTTAAAGGATTATTACGGTTTTTCTACACCTTTTCTATTTCATTTTAGGAAGGGTATTTATTTGAACATTGTTTTGTAGAGTGTAATATCTTTAGTATGCTGGATTAATCAAAAGCAAGGATTGTTTACTTAAGGTGGAGGTAAAGGATGTGGTTTCTTGGGGATACATCTGTGATACTGATTTAAATTCAACTTATTTCTCATGTCATTTTATTGGCTGTTGTGCAGCAACTGGAAAGCATGTCAGTAGATTTTGTATATGAATTATGTTTAGATGGATGTTGATTATGAACTTTTTTGTATGTTGATGTCCTGACAGAGTGAGTATTAATCACATATTGAATCATATATCATGAAGATTTCAGTGTTTACAGAAATAAAAGATATTTTGATTTATGAGATTTTTTTTGGCAATATTTATTTTTTTTTACTTTTTTTTTTTTTTTTTTTTTTTACTTTATATCATAAAATATCATTTAAAAGTTGTTGCAAAATGCCACAGTCCAGGTGGTGGCTGGTGTTGATCATCAAAGACTCATTTGCCATATAGAGGTTCTGGGAAGTGCAGAGTAAGGTTGGGAGTGGTGGTTATAAAACTCTTTAGCATTTTAATTGCTGGCAAGTGCTATCATTGCTTTATCATCTGTAGAATGATAATTAAAATAGTAAAATATTAGGTTGGACTTGTCAAAAACAATTTCACATAATCAAACTTAACCCTTGTGCTCAGGAAACCACTCCTGTGAATGTCACCAGTTTATGTATGTCTTTGGTAAACAGATGGAGGGACTTTGATCCCATTTACCTATAATATTATAAGCACTTCCTTATAAGACACAATAGTAGATCAAAATGGAGCAAGTACCACGTGACTGTCTTTCCATTAGCTCAATCCTCTATGTGATATTTATCAATTTAACTAATACAATTATAAGATTAAAATTCACCTCGTTTTTATCATCACAATTTTACAAGATAACGTTTTCAAAAAATAAAATACAACAAAAATCCAAACTTGTGGACATAAAACAATAAATTTCAGTTTTTTTTTTTTTTTTTTTTACTTTATATCATAAAATATCATTTAAAAGTTGTTGCAAAATGCCACAGTCCAGGTGGTGGCTGGTGTTGATCATCAAAGACTCATTTGCCATATAGAGGTTCTGGGAAGTGCAGAGTAAGGTTGGGAGTGGTGGTTATAAAACTCTTTAGCATTTTAATTGCTGGCAAGTGCTATCATTGCTTTATCATCTGTAGAATGATAATTAAAATAGTAAAATATTAGGTTGGACTTGTCAAAAACAATTTCACATAATCAAACTTAACCCTTGTGCTCAGGAAACCACTCCTGTGAATGTCACCAGTTTATGTATGTCTTTGGTAAACAGATGGAGGGACTTTGATCCCATTTACCTATAATATTATAAGCACTTCCTTATAAGACACAATAGTAGATCAAAATGGAGCAAGTACCACGTGACTGTCTTTCCATTAGCTCACTCCTCTATGTGATATTTATCATGTCTCACTATTTAATACAATTGCAAATATACACATTTATAATGGATTATTTAAAGCATTCAGCACAAGTGAAGTCACAACAGTGGTTGGCACACTATACTGTAAAAACATAAGTCACTGTACATACACCCTCAGTGAGACTCAGTGAAAAGAAAAAAAAAACCTGACTGTTGTTGTACATGAAAACACATTCCAACCATTTTCCTTATACCTGGCTGCTTATCTCCAGGTGAGACAGAGAGTGGTAATATATTCAAACAACAGTCATGTGACTTTGGAAATGGTTTGAATTTATGGCCAATTTCTTTATTATTATGGTTTTGTTATGCATGTGTAATGGGAATAACGAAACGTTATCATTTCCCATAAGCATTGTTTTTGTGGAACAAGATGAATAATAATAAACATGCAGACTGTTGTAGTTTAGTTTTTTAGAAGATTCTATTTATGTTAAAGGGATAGTTTACCCAAAAATGAAACTATTGTCATCATTTACTAACACAAGATTTTCCAAACTTGTATGAGTTGAACACAAAAGAAGATATTTTAAAGAACCAAACAGTTGACAGCAGCCATTGATTTTTGATCACCTTAGTCACTTGCTATGCTTTGTCATTCTTATGTTAAGGTATTCAATGTCAAAGTGTAACCTAATCCTATCAGAAAATCAGTTCACTTCCTTCTCTTTGTCACCCCTCCTGCTTTTCCATAATTTACACATGTACGTGTATCAGATGGCGTATGTGTGAAGGAGGGGTTGAGGATCAAATAGAGAGAGGGAGAACAAGGTAATGGTTTATGGTTTAACTCACTTGAGTCACAGCTCAAAAGTATAATTCAAACTTCTGAAGAGCAGGTGACGGCAGTAACACGTTACCGGAAGACCAGGACAGACAGGTCTGGAGAAAGTCAGCCATTGAAATACTTGTTTTGGGAACTTTTCAAACTTTTCAGCCATATTTGTATCCATCTACACAAAGAAGCAAGCATCTAGAAGATAAAAAGAAGAATATTGTCTTCCACTTTCAAGGTAATAAGGTAATCCTGTTTTTTTTTCTTTAATCTTTTCGGTTTACACTGCCCCAACAAACATAAAAAATAAATAAATAAAAAACGGTTGAATTTTGTTTGATCAGCAACCATGTTTTTGTTGAGCTACTGTGAAACAACAGCCAGTTTAGCAACTGTTAATATTAGCATTTGTTGGGCAATTGAACAAGCTTAGGGTGATTATTAGGTTAATTTCATTTCATATTTTTAATGGAAAGGAAATCCTTTAAATCCTTTAATCCAAATTGGAGATGTGTTGTCTAGTCACGGTGCAATAAATGTAAAAATTAGTAAGTCATTAAAATGTTAAATTATATGCATAATGGCAGTCCTTGTCTGAAACAGTATGCAATACATATTCCTTTCATGGTTGTTTTTTTAGATATTTGCATATGTTTTGTCTCAGCATCACCTATATATACATATATATCATATACAGCACTGCAGTAATGATGCCCATAGCAACCACATTTACATGTGGTTGTTATTTGCCATGTCAGATACTGCTAGCTTTCCATGCAACCATTTGGGATTATAAAATTCAAAAAGGATCCTGCTCTTTTCCTATTCATTCAGTTACATAGCATAGTAAGCATTCCATTAAAAGATCACAGAAGTTTTTCAGAACAGTTTAGCATTACGATTTTTTTTTTATTCAGTTTTATATATTTTTAGCAGTGCATCAACCATATATTTTGAGTTTTACCAAGTCATATATTGCCATACTTTAACTCATAAATGGATTCACTCAACTAATGTACACTTACATTTTTTTTTATGTAAATGAAACAAAGAAGTGTTTTAAAAATACATAAATTCAGTTTTTCTCTTTTAAAATTTTACATTTAATTTAATGTGTTACTTGTTTCTTTGTAATTATTTGTGAAATTAACTAGCAATTTCTGAGTGAAAATTTTATTTTATTTTTTATTGTATTTTTATTAATTTTTTTGTAGTGTAGGACAACAGCATATATATTTTAAGTAATCATTGTGCCAATGAATAACTTGAAGGATTCATTTTGCATTTCAGATTTTCTTCTGATCACACAACAGGATGGAGGACCCGGAAGTATCCACAGCATCACGTACCAATTCAATGCGGCACCAACACATGACACAAGTGGCCTCCGGTGATGATCAGGACGATGCCTGGGATGCCGGTCCAGAGTGTTCAATCTGCTTTTGCACATACGACAACACCTTCAAGACACCAAAGCTTCTTGAATGTACCCATACCTTCTGTCTGGAATGTCTGTCTCGCTTTGTGGCTATTTCACCAGAGCAGGAAGGTAACCAGATCACCTGCCCTCTTTGTCGGCAGCCAACGTCCGTGCCTGAGCATGGTACACCGGATCTAGCCACTAGCCAGGAAGTTTTGGGCCAACTTCCTGGCGACCAGCAACAACTAGAGAACGTTTTCCTAGACGGACAGAGGCTGTGCTACTCAAACCCAACGATACCCAACTGCATCTGCATTGACATTGGCGAGCATAAACCAGAGGAGACACCGAGGAGAGAGGAGAGAAGAGAGGGTTGTGGATACAGGCTGCTGCGATTCTTGGGTTTTTATGGGAACTGGAAGAGGCTTATGCTCTTCATCATAGTGCTTCTTGTCATCTTCTTGGTTATACTGTGGCCTCTCCAGTGCTTTACCATGTCAGAATGCTTCAGAGAATCACCAGGTATTCCAGCTACGCTCACTGCTCCCAGACCTACAGTGGGTACATAAGACACACAGGTGGACACGAGATGTTCTTATTCAAAGTTCATGAATTGCAAATGACATTCAGGTTGTATTGGCATCAGTCTGAAATCAAGGCTGATAAGCTGAAAACTCAGCCACATCCTTTACAGCTTCATATGACCAGTATTGGTTAAAGTTCTACTTTCTCCTTAAAAACTCAATATTTGTTGCATGAACTTTCATTGCCATATCACATACTTCCTAAATGCCACTGTAAATATTTAAAATTCTTTTCTGTGTCTAAAACAGATTAACAAAATAAACACTAGGGTAAAACAGTTTTTATAATTGACATTTTTAATAGGATCCTGCTTGCAGGTTTGATTGCTTTGGCTGGAACCCCTTAAACGCTCTTTGCACATTCTGTAAAATGATACGCATGCAATTTATTATTATTATTATTATTATTGTATGCTTTATGCTTATTTGCAAAATTATTATTTTTATTATTATTATTAAGCATGTATATTAACTAATGAGTTTTTAAAATGATTGTATTAGGAAAATATATTTTGTAAAATATAAAACATTTTTTATCAAATGCATTTCTTTTTATTAAATGTTTCTCACTATATCTATTTAGGTATATTTTCACTACTAAATGAACTTATTTTTATTATTGCCTATTTGTCCTTTGTTTTTGATAAACGTCTATTATATTTACAGTAATGCTTCATGACATACTATATAACACTGTCAGACTTTTATTACCATAGATAAGTGGCTATTGATCCTATTACTTCCTTTAAACCATAAAAGCGAAGGATTTTCCATCCAGCCTGTTGTTTAAGGATTTAACCCTTCATTGAATAGCAGCTTAGCTGATCAGTGACAGATTCGTACCATCTCCCCAGAGAAACCCTATTTATAAATTTGAAACGGAATGGCCCTCTGAGAATGCAGGACACACACACACGTGATCCATGTGATCAGAGACATACCTCTATTTATAACAGACCTGGACGCAGGGCCCCTCTCTCCCACACGCAAGGGCAGTGGGGTTTTGGAAGGTGAGCCAAGTCAGCGTCGGATCAACATTGAAGTGTTTTGAAAGCATAACTGACAACTAAAGGTAGGCAAAATATATAAGAGATGAGATGTTGAAAAGATATTTAATGGAAACTGACTATGCAGAGTCTGTGGAGCTAGAACTTTGTGGAACTCCTAAGAGGAGTTTTTGGGTTGGAAATATTTTCCATTGGCCTATGCTGTGTGTACTAGTGCTGCTGTATCAAAATTAACCACTTAACCATGTACGCAATAGAAAAGGACATCATGCACAGGGTATCATTAATATTAAAACGCGTATAAAGAACTAAACAACACTCAGTTTTTGTATAAAGACCATGGCTGGATCAAATAATAATTTCACAAAATCAACAGTTTTGATGCTCCTGGGAAAGAAAAAATAAGAAAAAACTGAGCATAGCTGAATGCATTTCCTGTGTGCTAAATGCACGTCCACGTGTGTTTGTAAGAAAACGCCCCACAAGCTAGATAAGATAAAACCGTTTCTCATTAAAGACTGTAAATCATGATCGTCATTCTCGCCATCTAGAGACACATCATTTCTAAGCAAGGACCATGCAAAATATTTGTAAAAGGCAAGTCACCCAAACAGCACATCATGCTGGTAAGTTTTATGGAACTCTTGTGAGACTATTTCCTCTCACTGACATCTTTCAATCCACAAATCACCTTGCAGTGAGTTGTTGTGAATACTCTGGGTACAGTCTGCTCTGGAGTCAGCTTACAGTCAGGCCAAGATCATCCTCACAGGAGCTTTGGAGACAGTCTAAGCGTATTACAGTATTTTGTTTGAAATATTTTGGAATTTACTTGGAGACAAAAGGATATTTCTCAATTAATTTGTTGAAAAGGAGTTTGGGTTCACGCCTTTTGCATTTGATTGGCCTACTGAAAAAATACATAAGGAGATTTTGCCTTTTGAACAGTTGAAATGTTTTCTGTGCAATGTTGCTTAAAAAGCAACATTTTTGCGTGTGATGGCCACTGTCAAAAATGTTAAATATTCAATAACTAATCATACGATCACACTTAAAAAACAGTGTTGAAGTTTTTTTTTTCCCCCTTTTCTTTCTAAAATTGTTTTATTTAGCGGATCAATATATATCTTTCAGCTGAGTTTTACCTTTTTTATTTTGTAACTAAAAATACAAATTCTTACAACCATAATAAAATCTCATATGGTTGCTATTAGTGATAATGTTATTATCTGTCATTCAAGTTAACTTTTAACCGACAGCCAAGATATTAAATTAGGTTTACATGCAAAGGCATGAAAAATGTATACCACATTTAAAGTATAGTTTATGGTTTGAGAAATTTTCACACAATACTTTTAAGAGTCTTAAATTATTTTTGGATGTCCAATTATTTTTTTTCTATTGTAAAAGTTTGATGCCTTTAATTCAACCCTTGCGATTTCAGCTCTTGATGGTCAAAAGTTTGCATGAATGACAGAGGATTTTTACATAAATAATATATTTTTTATACTGTATAAATTTATACTAATCAGCTGAATAAAATACTTTACTGTTTAAAAGTTTGGGGTCATTGAGTTTTTTTATTTTATTTAATACTTTCAAAAATACTTTAATTCAACAAGGATGCATAAATTTAATTCCGACCTTAAACTTCTGAATAGTAGTATATATATTTTTTTGGGGGAAAAAATTATAATTGTATTTATTTATTTTTTATTTTTTTCAGATGTCATAAAAAACCTTTTGAACTCAACTGCAATGGATGACTTAGACCACAGTGTGCTGATAGCAGAGCAGGACTGGGACTGTTTCTGTACAGACAGTGAGGAATGTTCTGTTCAGCAAGCCAAGCTTGCAGCCTTAGAGGAGTCTGGCTTCAGTGACACTGACGATGACAAAACCTCTGTCCACGTGTCATCTCTTTCCAGCCAGACCAGCCCTGATCAACTCTTTGAAAAAGATTGTGTAGAAGTACAAAAACAACAACAAATAAGAGAATGTAAATTAGAACATACATCTGAGAACTCAGAGTTTACTGAACATCCTAACCCAAATGCAGAGCCACAGAATACCAGGTCCGCTGAGCAGATGTCTGATACTGGAGCAAATGAACCAGGGGCTACATGTGAATATCACAACAAAGCTAATGAAGACAGCAACCTGACTGAGAAGTTAAACTTAGAGAAATTAAGAGGAAATTACGAAAATCAGGAGAATGGTGAGAATCAATCAAGCCAAGCCACAACCAAGCCAGTCTCTGAAATCTCTATAGAAGATATAAAGTATGAAAAGAGAAAGGATGGTATAGAAACGTTAACTGAGGTGACAGACTGTTCACCAGTGGCCCAAAAAGAGAAGGAACGTTGGTTTGTGACTGTAAATGACAGCCCAGTCCGCCTGAGAGTAAAGGATCCCAACTCGGTCAAAAAAAAAAAAAGACGAAAAAAAAAACCTTCTAAAAACTTTAGACAGAATAGCGGAGTGATGGAGAAGTGCTCTTCCTTAAATAACAATACAGAACCAGATAAAGAAATTACTGAGAGACAAATAACGCAGGACAAATTTGAACAAGAACATTTTTCTTCTGACTCACCCAATATTCAAAATGTACTTCATATCCAAGATGTTAAATGTATTTCGCCCACTGGATCACCTGAGGGTGAAGGAGGAAAAACAAGCTGTCCTATTAGTCTAAAAAAGGAAAGCATGTCAGAAATGCCAGAAGCTAACTTAGAAAGAAATCCTGCCGACTCCCTAAATTCACAGACCATATTTAAAGATCTCAGTGGCCCTTTGCCACAGTACTGGGATCATGAAAGCGCTGTGTGTGATAAATATGACAAATCCATAGTAGATATTAACTGTGAATGTCAACATTCAACTGATAATTTAAGCCACTTTAATAATGACACAGGGGTGGAAAGTCCCAGATTTATTCTGGGTGCCTCTGAACCCTCTGCTCCTTCAGATACTGAAGGAGAAAAAAAAGAACAGCAAGAGCCCTCGGGACAGACTTATAATAGAGAAGAATCATCCCAATCATCCCAAAAGACACAATCCTCCAGTAACAGTGCCAAGACTTCAGGTCCAACTCGACCCATATTTGCCATTTCCTCCTTTTGGGATGAAATGGAAAAACTGACAATAAATGATATTTTGCAACTTAGAATAGCCAATAACAGGTCTCTACTGACAGAAAGCATCATTCCAGAAGAAAGCAGCCCTGTGGTCGCTGTCGATGTTCATCTTCCAGATAGGGGTGATGTGGAATCTAAAGATGATAGTTTAGAAGATGGCCTGGTAGACGACGCAGCAGATTCAGACTATTTCACACATTTGGATGACTCTAAACCAGACCGATCGAGCTGTGAATTCTCGGCTTACTCTGATTTCGATGATGAGTTTCTACAACTTCTTCATGCAAGTGCAAACCCTAGCCCTGAACCCCTTGAAGGCAAAGAGCAAACCCAACGTTTTCTTGAGTCTGGCATAGATTCAGAAGAAACTTGGCCAAGTGAATCAAATGAGACGGTGAAGCTGTGTCCTGAGAGTGATCCCTCACTATATTTGTATTCAGAGACAGAAGCAGAAATGCAGGACGTATTTTTAACAGCTAAAGAAGAAAACAACACGAATACCTTTCTATTGGACCACTGTAGCACAAGGAGATCAACGCCTTCACCAGTTTTATCGATTTCTGATATTCTAGACGATCAGTGTCTGCTGTCTTTCTTCAAAATCTTGAGAAGTGACACCAAAGCAGAGCAATACCAAACTTGGATCCCAGAAAGTAAGACTTCGCTTTGTTTTTCACAGGTTTTCTTGAGTCTGGCATAGATTCAGAAGAAACTTGGCCAAGTGAATCAAATGAGACGGTGAAGCTGTGTCCTGAGAGTGATCCCTCACTATATTTGTATTCAGAGACAGAAGCAGAAATGCAGGACGTATTTTTAACAGCTAAAGAAGAAAACAACACGAATACCTTTCTATTGGACCACTGTAGCACAAGGAGATCAACGCCTTCACCAGTTTTATCGATTTCTGATATTCTAGACGATCAGTGTCTGCTGTCTTTCTTCGAAATCTTGAGAAGTGACACCAAAGCAGAGCAATACCAAACTTGGATCCCAGAAAGTAACACTTCGCTTTGTTTTTCACAGAGCTTATCTGTGGCTGAAACTTATGATGACTTCTTCTCAGATTTTGAGGTTGGGAATTTTCTCTTTCCTTCAGTTCAAGTTTCAACAAAGAGCGAGAAAACATTGGTACCTATCTATTCCTCTTCTCATTCAGTGGTGAAAGACCTAGAATTTCCAGAGGTAGAAGAGGTGATACAGTCGAATTGTGAAGACGAGAACGCCCCAGTCCGAGTTATGAGGTGTACAAGCCCTTCTGAAACATCAAACATGTGCTTTATCACTAGCCGGAGAAGTACCTGGCGAAAACTTTCTCTGAGACGCACCAAACTTCTAATGGGAAGGACCTGGTATAGGATGGCCACCTCTTGGGGTTTTCCCAAGACAGTTGACACAGTCTACAGTTATAGAACAAGAACATCATCAAGTTCTTCTATAGCTCAGCCAAAGCTTCCAGAGCGTTTCCTAGACAACCAGGCCCTTGGACAAATGACAGAACATCAGATACATGTTGGGGCAACTTTTGCAAACGCAGGTACAATCTTAAAGGCATTTTTGAGATCAAATAGATATGAAAATGTCAAGTCTAACACAACAAAATTCTGCTTACAGATAGAGATTGCTTCCTTTTTTCATTAAAGCAAGCAGACATGTGCCTTGTTTGCATTGCTTTTGCGTCTTGGGTACTGAAGTCAAGCAACCCACAATCTAACGACATGTGGAAAGCAGGTAAGAACGCCATGTGGATGGTGTATTTCTGCAATAAGACACAATGATCAGGCTGTTACATATTAAATTAGGCAATTTATTCAGATAATATGAGCACACAAAATTAACATGATCGTTTTTCCCTCTATTATTTTTCAGCTCTTCTGGCAAATGTGAGTGCGATCTCTGCCATCCAGTACTTGCGGCGATATGTAAAAGAAGGATGAACCATAAAAATCTAATATTAGAGCTTTCTGAGGATTTCTCACAAGGGGCCAGTGTACAGGAAAGGGTTAATTTTGCACAAATTCACAACAAACACTTTAGTAAATACACATATTAGATTGTATTCCATATTTACTAACGGTCTAATATTTTCATGTTTAATATATTCATGTTACAAAATAGGTGTTCAATCAATAAATAACTTATCAAAGGACAATTTTGTTAAAAAAAAAAAAAAAGCATACAAAGCAAAGGAGAAAACATTAATTTTTTTTCCCCCCGTACAAACACTTGTTCAGTTAGAAGACATATATTGCTTTAGATATGATGTTGATATGGACCAGAAATGACAACTGGTAAGTTTTGCGTCAATTATATTCAGGACTCAAGCTGTGCTATACATATTTATGTAACTAACAAGTAAACTGTTTTGCAGTGTACATATAAAAAACGTTTTCACTGATAATCACTCTAGATGCATCTATTAAATGCATAAACATCATGCGGCCAAAGCTTTAAAAAAAAGTTCATATAGTTTTTCAGTGAAGAAACAGATTTGAGCACATTTCATGAAGAATATAAATTTGCACATAAAATATAGTTGGAAGTTAAGGAGGTATCAGAAAGTGCCAGAAAAATATGACTGCTGCTGAGTGTCAAATATTTCTATCACACATAAGCAAAGACTGATGTCAGTGTATTAAGTGTATATGAAACAGCCTCAGAAAATTATGCTTACAAATAACAAATGAATTTATTACTAAAAGAAAATGTACTGATGAAAAAATGAAAAGATCCGAGTTGACTGTGTTCATATGACATGTTAAAGATGAGTAAAAATAATTCGAGCTGTTTGTAATCATGCATTCGTCATTGAAAGTTATGAAAAATTTCCAACTATAAGGTAATTGCAACCAGACAACACTGTGCATGTATACATAAAGACATGGATATTAAAAATGAGAATATATTTCCCATTAAAAATATCCATATACTTTATAAAATGCTAGTACAAATGTTTAGTGCTAATTCAAAGAAAATAATGACTTTTTGGCAGTTTTGGAAAAAGTGACCCATCAAAGTTCCACAATAACGGCATTAACAGATAACACTCATCAACTGTCTGCTTCAACACATACAAAACAATGGCACTACATTTCATGATTTCTATTGTTATTTTAACAATTAATAGTAGTGCACAACAATACACGTGTATTGCATTAAACCATCACAAAATTACTCTTTCTCTCTCTATTGTGTTTATAATGAATTTCATCTTATTGTGAGAATGCTGTGCTCTTTCCCAACCAGCCTGCCTATGAAAATGTAACTTACTAAACAGTAGCCTGGTTGTTTAATTGGCTAAGTGCACATGCTAGGACTGAAGCTGGTATTGAGGATACCATTAAATATGCCATATGCATTTTATTGCTAACTGTAGGTACCTCTCCATAAATTAACTTCCTAAACTTCTGTGCCAAGTAGGGAGGACCCAGGAACTGACCTGCTCTATCAAATTGTGTCCTTAAGCATGGTGGTAAACACTGCAAGCAGGTGACTGTTGGCCTGATCAGTCTTCCACAGCATCGTATGACCATGGCAGTGAAGCGACTGTTCTGCAGAGCTGGATAAGCTCTGTTCCCAGACAGGGAAAGATCAACACTACAGTCATAATGCTAATACTCAGCCTAGATTTGGTCTACATTATTAAATCAAAAAAGTTAAATTGCTCAAAAAAATAAGGTGTTGTGGAGTTTACTACAAGGTAGGTTTTACTGTATATTGATGAGCACACTGAGGTATAGATGAAGAGGCTGTCAGAGAAAGGGAAGGATAGAGAATGTAAAGCATGCACTTCTTGCACACAGGCCATCTGAAGTTTTGTATCCAAATCTATCATTGCATCTTTTAAATTTCAACAGTTAATATATTATTTCAAACATATATTTACAATCTTAAAACGAATGTTTCAGTAAACTTTGAAACTAAATTGTGATAAACTCTGGATATTGGACAGCACTTTTCAAATACTTAGTAAATCTACAGTACTGTGCTTTTAGCACAATAACAACATTACATGGGAATTTAATTTCTTACAGAAACTTCTAAATTACAGAAATTTCTAAATAGTGTTCATGCAAGGAAAGCAAATTCGCTGTGCTCCAAAAGGCTAGTTATTTCATACATCACAAAGGAGTCGGTCAAATGTTTATAAGTGCCAAAACAGGGATAAACCCACGCTGGGTTTTCTGAAATAAAAGGCCTGATACCCTGAACACAGAATCACTCTGTAATCCACAGTGGAGGATTTGTTCATTTCAGGACTGCTTGTCTCCCTCTTTCTTCAGACGGCTGTCAAATAGACAACAGAACAAAATGTTGTCACTTAAGCATCCAAGTAAACAGGTAATAAAAAATGAAAAAAAGTTCAGTGTACTGTGGGGTGACACATTTCACAGTAAACACAGCTTAGTTGCTTTATGGGCACTAAACGTGATCCGTGCATGCTACTTTAAAGAAAATTTTTTTGAAATCTTTCATCAAAACATCTTGCTAAAGGCTTATTTACTCATGCACTCTAGAACAGAACGTTAATGTGGTTCACCTGTAGTAGTCTTCTTGGCTGGGGAGAGGAGCACTATGTAAGTGTGCATGTCCATGTAGCCACTGCTGCTCCAGTGCCAGCCTCTGCAGCTCTGCTGACTGTGCCTGCATCGCCTGCAACTGATGCGCAGCTGACATCGGAGCCAGGGGTCCTGGTAACTCTCTGGGGAATGGTGCTCCTATTAAAGAAAGACACAGAATATCTTACTTTGGTTACTCTTCCCTCAAATAACAGAGAACTATTTCCTACCGTGGGACTGTAATGTGTATGTAGATGCTGGATGGTCTTGTGAAGTAACAATAAAGCAACAACAGGTTGACAAACATTATTGCATTACATTAGGGATGTACATTTCATCCATTTTGGCTCTTTGAATAATAAAAGTCACAACTGATTATTATCAGCAGCAAAAGACTGGCCCAGACAGAATCTATAGACACATTTTAAACTGATTTGGAGGGGGATATTCAATGTTTGTATTAATATTAAATTATATACAGTATAGTATACAGTTCAAAATTTTGGGGTCTGTTTTTTTTTTTTTTAAGTATTTATTACTTTTAAATTAAATTAAATTACTCAAGTGACAGTAAAACAATTATAACATTACAAAAGATTTACATTTCAAATAAATGCTGTTCGTTTGAAGTTTCTATTCATCAAAGAATCCTGGAAAAAATGTATCACAGTTAACACACAAATATTAAGATGCACAAGTGTTTTCAACATTGATAATAAATGTTTCTTGAGCACCATATAAGCATATTGGGATGACTTCTGAAGAATAATGTGACTCTGAAGACTGCAGTAATGGCTGCTGAAAATTCAGCTTTGCAATCACAGAAATAAATATCATTTTAAAATACATTAGAATAGAAAAGTTATTTCAAATAAAATAAATCTTTGATCAAATAAATGCTTGTTGATCTTAAGAGACTTTCAAAAACATCTCACTGACTAAAATATAAATATAATAAATACATTAAATCTTAATCTTAAATATTAATTCCACAGAATGGATTTAAACATGGTTAAATGTGTTAAAAGGAGCTGAGAGTACTTCATTCTTATTGGCTGCTGAAAGCTTAATATTTAATAAAGAAGCATGCAAGTAATGGAGATATGGCTAATTAAAGGGGAGGGTGTTTCAATTCTGCTCAGCAGTGGACATGGGCTACGTTTGGGCCTGGCTATATGAGTTGGAAATGTTAATCATTCAGAATTAAAGGCCCGTTCACACCAAGGACGATAACTATAAAGATAACGTTAAAGATATAGTTTTAAAAATCATTCTCAATATTAAAGAATAGCAGAGTCCACACCACAACTATAACGATAAAGACAAAGAGAAATGATATCATTGGAATCACTTTCAAAACGATTTTTCTCAAGCTGATGAACATAAAAAATGGACAGCCAATCAGAATCCATCCTGCTGTAACGAGCTCAAGAATTTAAAGCGGCAGACGAGCGTGTGCTTAGAATAAACAGACGATATCGTTTGCTGGTGTGGACGCTAATATCGTTATCTTTATAGTTATCTTTTTATGGCACTTTTCCACTGCATGGTATGGCACAGTATGGCTCAGTATGGTTCACTTTTGGGGGGTTTTACACTGGGTACAGTACTTGGTACTTTTTTTAGTACCATCTCGGATGAGGTTCCAAGTGAACCGTGATGTTACCAAAACATGACGTGTAAACTCTGCTGATCACGGATTGGCCGGAGAGAATCGTCACTACCTGCGTCACTGAACTTGCTACACAAACACAACAGACCCGCTAGATTTAAATCATCACAGCCAGCGAAGTATCGAACGCAACTGTTTTGAACGAGCGCAGCTTTTTTAACAACCAAAAATGGCTGTTTCGTGGTCTGTTGAGGAAGTACAGACGTTCCTCTCGTTGATAGAAGAGGAGCGGATCCAGCGAGAACTTGATGGGGCGGAATGAAAACGTTTTTCAGGAGTCGCGGCAGTAGAGGCGGCGCAACTATAACATGTGAATAATCCCGCCCACTCTAAAGCGATACTAACTGCAGTGGAAATGCAAACCGAGCCGAGCCGTGCCGTACTGAGCCGTGCCGAGCAGAGTCGTACCACGCAGTGGAAAAGCGCCAATAGTTATCGCTCTTGGTGTGAACGGGGCTTAACTCTGAACTTTCTTTTATCCTAAAAGTGAAACAGGGAGTCTATTTGGTGACTCACCAAACAGAGGGTGGCGGAGCATTTCATGCTCATGGGGTAACTCACTGAGTAGGGGGTTGGAGATGGCACCAGGTGGGTAGGGGAATCGTGCCAGAGGGGGGCCAGCAGCCAATGGGTCCACCAGAGGATGAGGCCCTTGGCCTGAAAGACAAATACATTGACATTTCCATTTACTTTCTTGAAAAAAATGTGATCTAGAGAAGTTCTCACCTTGGTTGAGAGGGTCCTGTTGGTGCAGATGAAGATGGGAGTGTATATGTGAGTGTTGGTGGTGGTGTGGTGTAACATTGAGCATCTGTAGCCGTGCAACAGGGTCACCAGCAGCAACAGAGGCCATCCTTTCAGCATGGAGCCGTTCAGCTGTCAAACGCTCAGCATAGATGATTTCTGGCCGAGGGGGTGCCGCTACGCTGCGGTCCATGGCTGGGTGGAACTGGGCGAAGGGGTGAGGCCCAGCCACATGAGGCAGAGGCAGGGCACCATGGCGGGCAAAATGCTCCATGGGATTTGCCGACGGATTAAGTGGGTTCTCCAGCTCTGGCGGTTTCACCTCAAATCCGGGCTTCATTCTTTCTCGGATCTCTCTCTCTCGAAGCTCACGAAGCTCTCGCTCTCGAAGGGCTGGGTCTACTGCATAGAGCCCTGGCATGTGATAAGCCAGCAGGTGCTCACCTGGCCCAAGCTGCATGAAGAAAGGATGGTTGCGGTTGGTGGGAGACATGACGTGGGGGCGGGCGTACTCGCTGAGTGTGCGGAGGGCTGGAGTGTCAGGGCCGAGATATGGTGGAACTGCAGCCACAGTGGTGGGGGGAGGATGTTCGAATGACGGACGGCCCGGTTGCACATGGGCAGCAAGCAGGTGTTCCCCTATTCGGCCATCGTGGGATGAGCATGACGCACGCTATGTGAAGAAAAAAAAATGTTTTATGAAAAAACAAAAAAGGTTTTATATTATAACCTTCTTTAAAGAGAGATTCTTTATCAAAATAAGTAAAAAGTGATTTTAAAGAGAAAGGAGATCTGTGACTGGCAAA